TGTTCGGAGGCCTATCTGTAAACATGAAAACTAAATATGAGGAAATGTAGGCCGGACCTCCCTCTATAGGTCCCCATATTTCGATTTTTGGCACAAAGTAAAAATTGGACCCTTAAGGTCCAAAAACAAATTGAGTGATTTTGTCCAAAAACAGTTTTTTGAAAATTTTGTTCGGAGGGCTATCTGTAAACGTGAAAACTAAATATGAGGAAATGTTGGCCGAACCTCCCTCTATAGATCCCCATATTTCGATTTTTGGCACAAAGTAAAAATTGGACCCTTATGATCAAAAAGTTGTTTTTTCTTATTATTTTGAACAATAACAAAATTAAAATTAAATATTACTTTTTGGTTTTTACTTATAAATGTATTTATTTATGATTATAATTAATAATTATTAGTTTTTGTTTTAAATAATTTTATTTCACATATAAAGTTTGTTGAAAATATATGAAAAGTTTGTTAAAAGCCGAAAATCCTCTCCCATGTTCAAAAAAAGAAGAAGAGTGGATATTCAGTGTAAATTGATGTACACCACATAATTATATATGAATTTTGTACTAAATTTATGTACAATAACTTGGCAGCACTGAAAATTATGTCTGCAAAGCCGAAAACACTCAATTTTCGTCTGCACATATTTCTCAGAGAGGATTTTTATTTATTCTCTCTGCAAAATGAGTGAAAAACAAAAAAGTTTGCCAGAAAGTTTGTTAAGTTCACGGGTACGCAACATCGTATTGGGAGCCCGTTCGTTCATATACAACATTATGAAAATATTGACAGAATAAAATAATGGTATTGCCAGCATCAAATCTAAAAAACATTAAAATGTATTTCAGTTAAAATTCTGTTTTTGCATATACTTTTTATACCCTACACCACTTTAGTGGGGAGGGTATATTGGATTTGTGCTGATGTTTGTAACATACAAAAATATTCGTCCTAGACCCACCTTAAAGTATACCAATCGACTTAGAATCGTTTTCTGAGTCGATTAAGATATGTCCGTCCGTCCGTCCGTCTGGCTGGCTGTCCATGTAAACCTTGTGCGCAAGGTACAGGTCGCAACGTTTTATTTGACCCAAGGACGAAGCCTATTGAAAATGGTTAAAATCGGTCCATTATTTCACCTAGCCCCCATAGAACCCCCCGAAAAGGGCTTCTGAGCTCATAATTATGTTAAATATACAGATAAATCGATAAAATACGGCACAACTAAGTTTTATAGAAGTCTTGATGACCCTGCCAAATTTCATAAAGATCGGGCCACATTTGACCCTAGCTCCCATACAAAGTCCCCTTCAGAAAATGACTTCAATGTCCAAAAATAACTTATAAACACAAATATCGCGATAAAATTCAGCACAATAAAATATTATGTAAATATAAATATATTCACAAAATTTTATCGGGCTTGGTCCATATTTGCCCCTAGCCCCCATATAAAGCCTCTTTCAGAAAATTAGTTTTTCATCCATAAACTGCTTAAATGTATCGGAACAAGGGAATATTGAAAATAAATGCTTTATTATGAAAAATAAATCACATTTAATATTCATAACTGGTGTAGGGTATCATATGGTCGGTCACGCCCGACTATACTTTCTTACTTGTTTAATAATGGATTATTAAGCTAAAAGTCGTTGTTAACTAATGTACACTTTAAGGTCATAATAATGTTTTTTTTGTATAAGACTGTAAGATTTTAGAATATATCGCTTATTTACTCCAAAAGTGTCATAACTTAAAGTTTGGGTTTTCATGAACTGAGTGCCAAATATCCGCCGTTTTTTCATAACTTAAATTAATTATAATTTTATGACTTAAAATATCCAATCAAGTTGATATTAGATTATTTTCTTTAATAACCCGAACTAAATATTTTTAAGTCTTTTAGTTGGGAATTGTACAAATAAAAATTTGTATATGTAAAAAAGTATTTTTATTGATGCAGTGTTAGTGTATACAGAATTGATGTGCCCCATTTGTAAAATAAATTAAAAATCGAATGTAAACTTTAGACGCTAATACACATCATTTTGAAAACGTCGTTTTTATTGAATATATTGCTTTTGAAATTGCAAAGTTGACAATTCCGTGTCTGGCTTTGTGCTTATTAGTGTTGATAATTTTTATTATTAGGCGCAATTTACATGAAGACTTTTCAGACGTCTGTTTTTTCCAATTCTCTTTTGAGAATCTTCCAAAAAATCATGAACATTTATACGGTGATTTTTTACATGCAACTATGCATGTCTTTTTTTGATGTTTAATTGTATAATCCTTTTTAATTACTTATTCGTAATAAAAATAAAACGAAATTTTTAACATAAAAACCATTTAATTTGATTTAAAAAAATTTAATAACACGCTATAGTATTTTTCAATGCAAATTTTAAATTTTTCATGTAAAAAAAAGACATAATTATTTTTTTACATGAGCATAATATCAACAGTACGAATGAGTTTAAAGAGGAATGTCAAAAACAATCATGAAAATCCCAAATCATGTTTGTTTTCTTACCCCCCATTCTTCTCTACACCGCTCACCACCAATCATCGACAAACATGAAAACAGACGTCTGGGCAAACATGAAAAAAAATCATCGTGTAAATTGGGTGTTACAAAGGTGTGCAGGATGCACTAAGTAAGGTGAAATTGTCAAGGCAGCTGATTTTTATTTGTTTATTTAAAAAGTGCTTGGGTTATGTCAAAAATAATTTATTTATTTTTATTCTAACATAAAAATTAAATTTGTGTTTTCTAACGAAAAAATTTCAAACCAAAAATTATGAATGAAAATGCTAATAAAAGGGTTCCAAATGAAGAAATTCAGATGAACCAGCAATAAGACGTTGTCCTGCTGCGAATACAATTTAAATGTAACGACGGTTTTATAGGTAATATTGTGAAATACGCAAAAAATTTTCTTTCCAATATTTATTATTTTTCAATTTTAGAAATTTCATTTTGACAAAACCCATACTCAAAACAACAAAAAAATATTGTGTTTGTTGTGGTTGTTGCCCAAACGCTCTCACCTTACTTATTACATCATGAAGGTGTGTGTTGGAAATCGCTGCAAAATTTACTAAACAATTTTATTTTAACGATAAATCTCTGCATTTATGCGCAAAATTTTGCTTAAAATCGCTATATTTTGCCTATATTTAAGCTCTGTCTACACGTGCAATAACTTTGAAGATTTATGTTTACAATATTATTGTTCAGCTCCAGCACAATTTTCCAAGATTTTATATAAATATATATATAAACACACACATTTTCAAATTTTAATGAGACGTACATCTCTTTGTATTTATTTATATTTTACATCGTTGAAATATTATTGCCAAGACCACGAAATGCTTTTGTTGACGATCGAAAAAAAGTTAATTGTAATTTACAAAGCGTAAAATTGGTGGCAAATAATATTTAGGTACCGTTATCAGTTTACTCGTTATAATCTTCCAACAAAGTTGTAATTAAAGCGGAGCTTAACTATATGATTTCAGTAACTAATTGTTTTTTAATCATAAAGGCTGCCAAACTAAATATCGAGGAATTATAAGGCGCAATTTACATGAAGACTTTTCAGACGTCTGTTTTTTCCAATTCTCTTTTGAGAATCTTCCAAAAAATCATGAACATTTATACGGTGATTTTTTACATGCAACTATGCATGTCTTTTTTTGATGTTTAATTGTATAATCCTTTTTAATTACTTATTCGTAATAAAACTAAAATGAAATTTTTAACATAAAAACCATTTTAGTTTGATTTAAAAAAAATTAATAACACGCTATAGTATTTTTTTAATGCAAATTTTAATGTTTTCATGTAAAAAAAAGACATAATTATTTTTTTGCATGAGCATAATATCAACAGTACGAATGAGTTTAAAGAGGAATGTCAAAAACAATCATGAAAATCCCAAATCATGTTTGTTTTCTTACCCCCCATTCTTCTCTACCCCGCTCACCGCCAATCATCGACAAACATGAAAACAGACGTCTGGGCAAACATGAAAAAAAATCATCGTGTAAATTGGGTGTAAGTTAGTGTTGTTGTAAGCGCATGTATATGTCTTAGGCGCAATTTACATCAAGACTTTTCAGACGTCTGTTTTATCCAATTCTCTTTTGAGAATCTTCCAAAATATCATGAACATTTATACGGTGATTTTTTACATGCAACTTTTCATGTCTTTTTTGATGTTTAGTGTAAATAAAATTAAATTTTTAACATAAAAACAATTTAGTTTTATTAAAAATAATAAATGGTATTTTTTTTTAATGCAAATTTTAATGTTTTCATTAAAAAAAACACGTAATTATTTTTTTACATGAGTATAATATCAACAGTACGAATGAGTGTAGAGAGGAATTTCAAAAACAATAATGAAAATCCTAAATCATGTTTGTTTTCTTACCCTTCATTCTTCTCTAACCCGCTCACCACCAATCATCGACAAACATGAAAACAGACGTCTGGGCAAACATGAAAAAAATCATCGTGTAAATTGGGTGTTATTTTCATTAAATTTGTAAGTTAATAAAATAAGCAAGCCCTTTCTTTTAAATTTACAAAAGCTATGCATTATTATGTTTTGGATTCTGTTACATTTTCATAAATAAAAAGTTTTGACTTTCGATTTTGCTTTAATTTTGCGTCCAAATACCAAACGATATAGAAGAGATATGTAAATAATATAAAAAGTATTTCTGTGGAAAATATGTTTTAACTTAAAACTTTATAAAAGCGAAAAATCGATTTTTCATTCATAGTTTTCCAAACTAAAGGTTAAATATAACAAACAAAAGGCGGGGTTATTCAAACATTCGGAAAATTCGAAGGTCTGATTTAGCTTTAGCGCAGCTCAATCCATTTTATCGTTTTTGAACCGCCTACGGTGATTTGTTCTTGAACGAGCTGGCAGCACTGAAGTTCATTTTATGTAAATTCACCATGATTATTCCGATTGTTAATTTCTCAATGCTATCTTGCCACAAGAATTGAGCAAATGCCCTGCGAACGACAGCTGATTGTATTGTTGTTGTGTTTTGGTATTTTCTATCCTGCAATTTGCGAGGAACATTTTTGTAAAATGTCAACAATTTTGCATTGTGAATTTGAAGTATTTGGAATTGTACAAGGTAATATAAAATTAATTAGTATTGCTGTGCAGCTCATATTTTTGTAATTATTTAATTTCTATTTTTAGGAGTCTCGTTTCGTATGGTAAATCAATTGATTTATTATATTTTAAAATAAAAGAAACAAATGCAGACATTTGAAGGAATGTGTTTGTTTTTTTTTTCTTTTTATATCTATTAGATAGCAATGTTTTGAAAATCATAAACATTTTAGAGCACGTAAGTCTTTAACATTACATTACTCTTCGGATATAAAGATGAAAATTTATATTTTTATTTGGCAAAAAGCAAAATATTTTTAATTTTAAAATGTGAATTTTAAATATGAATGCTTGCATTTATTATGCAAATTAAATTTAACCTATTCTGTAAATCAGTATTTCTACAAATGTCTGGCATTAAATAATAGTTATCGATAAAATTATTACGCAAATGATTGAAATAAATGTAAAGTTTACAGAAAAACAGGCGAAATCTTTGGGCGTACGTGGTTGGTGTATGAATACACGCAATGATACTGTTAAGGGCGAAATTGAGGCTCCCCCGGAAGAATTTGCTCAAATGTAAGCACTTACATATATAATATTGAAGAAATCTACATATCGATTATCTACCAGATCTGTAAATGAATTATTCATTTTTTAATTCGCGAATTATTCAAGCATTGAATTAGTAAAATTTTAATTCTTTTTCAAAAAATTTGGTAAATTAATTTGGAAAAACTAATTGCAATTCATTTCCAATTCAAATGAATTGCAATTCGTTTCTAATTTAAATGTATTTGTCAAAGTAAATTGCAATTTATTTCCAATAAAATTGAATTGACTTTGAATTAATTCAAATGAATTAGAAATTCCATGATATACCGGAATTGTTAGATAGCGTCATAATAGGAATTGAACTTCAAACACCATGTTTTTATTTTGATAAGTTTTTTCAATTTTTGTACCGAATATTTTAATTTTTGTAGGAGAAATTCCCATTTATCATTTCCCTAGATTTGCTCTTGAATTTTATTGATTGCAACCAAGGTTGGCAACCGTTATCGCTAAGCTATCGTTACCGCTAAAATACCATTTCATCACTAGTACTGTTACCGCTAAAATTCCGATACCGAAACAAGCCAAAATACCGATATCGCTAAAATAACAATACCGAAAAAAGTCAAAATACCGATAACGCTAAAATATCGTTACCAAAATAAGTCAAAATACCCATACCGTGAAAATATCGTTACCGTGTCTATGGACTATACTATAAACTAGACTGGACCAGACTCTAGGCAAGACTATAGACTAGACAGGGATAGACTGGACTATACTAGACTATAGACCAGACTATAGACTAGACTATAGACAGATTCGCAACTCGTTTTTACAAATTCATTTGAATTGAAAATGAGTTGAAATTCATTTCTGCCTTATTCGTTTGAATTGGCTCAAATTTCATTCAGTTCTTTTTTCTTGTGAAAGAAATTAATTCAAAATTAAGCTAATTCAAAGGAATTATGAATAATTCATTTAAAAATGAATAATTCATTTACAGTTCTGTTATCTACTAGAAGACTGGCATAACTCCAAAAAGAAAAAACCTTTCGACCAAACAGCTTTCTTTTATAAAATGTTACTATTTCTTAAATAACTTTTAATCAGAAAAACAAAATTTTGCGTTATGCCAGTCTTGTAGTAAAAGTGTAACATATATGTACTTATTTTAAAATTTTATTCGATTTTAAGGAAAATATGGCTCGAAAAAACTGGAAGTCCAACTAGTCGTATAGATAAAGTTATTTTTGGCGATGTAAAGGAATTAGATAACTTTACATTCGAAAGCTTTACAATTAAATATTAAATAGTTTATTGTTATCTAGTAATATTTATTTTAAAACAATAAATATATATACAGTTCTTATATACTATAGTAATCTGTGTTATATTATTATAATTTTTTTTTAATTTAAACTTAAATTTAGATTATAAGAAAGAGATTATACAAAAAGTTAAAAATCGTCTTTAAATTTCACTTTAGTTTATTTACATTTCAGCTTTGTTTATATACATATGTATATAAAATTCCGAAAAACACTGGATTGAAATGAAATAAATGCCTATATTCTTAAACGGACAAGCCTCTATTTATTATTATTCTTAAAAAACAAGTAAGAAAGTATAGTCGGGCGTGGCCGACCATATGATACCCTACACCTGTTATGAATATTAAATGTGATTTATTTTTCGTAATAAAGCATTTATCTTCAATATTCCCTTGTTCCGATACATTTAAGCAATTTATGGATGAAAAACTAATTTTCTGAAAGAGGCTTTATATGGGGGCTAGGGGCAAATATGGACCAAGCCCGATAAAATTTTGTGAATATATTTATATTGACATAATATTTTATTGTGCTGAATTTCATCGCGATATTTGTGTTTATAAGCTAATTTGGGACATTCAAGTAATTTTCTGAAGGGGACTTTGTATGGGAGCTAGGGTCAAATGGGGCCCGATCTTTATGAAATTTAGCAGGGTCATCAAGACTTCTATAAAACTTAGTTGTGCCGTATTTTATCGATATATCTGTATATTTAACATAATTATGAGCTCAGAAGCCCTTTTCGGGGGGTTCTGTTCTATGGGGGCTAGGTGAAATAATGGACCGATTTTAACCATTTTCAATAGGCTTCGTCCTTGGGTCAAATAAAACGTGCGTGCCAAATTTCATCCAATTATCTTGAAAATTGCGACCTGTACCTTGCGCACAAGGTTTACATGGACAGCCAGCCAGCCGGCCAGACGGACGGACGGACGGAAATAGCTTAATCGACTCAGAAAACGATTCTAAGCCGATTGGTATACTTTAAGGTGGGTCTAGGACGAATATTTTTGTATGTTACAAACATCAGCACAAATCCAATATACCCTCCCCACTAAAGTGGTGTAGGGTATAAAAATATGATGCATACATAACATGAACTCTATGTTAAAAAAAATATGTATGTGAACATTGTATTGCAAATTGCAATTCAACGAGTCGAATTGGGATTTAAAAAAAAACTACAAATTTATACAGTAACGAATCAAATGTGGATCGAGTGTGTCAATGTAATATTATATAATCACCTTGAACAAAGGCATATATAAGGATTATCCATCCGAATCAAATTTTGTAAACGGTGTTTGGCAATCATACGTTTGTGCCGGTTCACACAGGAAAACTTTTTTTTGGGGAACTTTTGATTTTGTGTGTGGGAGAGAGATGGTTGATATTTCTTTCTCTTTTTCTTTAGAGCCTACATATATACAAGTCTATGTTTAAACAAGTACGAATGTATAGTCGGGCATGGCTTATGATACCCTACACCAGTGAATATGTTAAAAATGTGGACTTTTTTTAAATAATAAAGCATTTAATTTGGTTTTTACCTTAATTCCGGAATATTTTTACTTTTTGTTAAGAAAAAAAGTTATTTGTGTTATTGGTGCTTATAAATCTATTTTGAACTTCATGTAATTTTCTGAAAAGGAGTTTGTATGGAGGCTAGGGTCAAATGAGGCCTGATTATTACGAAAATCAGCAGTGTCATTTAGGCTTTTATAAAACTAAGTTTTCCGATTTTTATTGACATACTAGAACATTTAACATAATTATGATCTCAAACTACAAATTTTAACCATTTTCAATAGTCTTCGTCTTTGGGTCAAAAGAAGAGTATGAGCCAAATTTTATCAAATTATCTTGAAAATTGCGACCTGTAGCGTACGCACAAGCTTTACATGGATAAACAGACGGACATAGCAAAATCGACTCAGAAAGTGATTCTGAGCCGATTGGGTAGGATCAATATTTTTGTGTTACAAACATCAGCCCAAGCACATAATACCCTCCACACTATAGTAGTGTAGGGTATACAAACTTATAAACAATAAGCAGATGGGCAACAAACCTACCTATCTATCAAAATATTTCTATTATTTTCGTAACTTTTATGTTAAAAATACAAGTGGGCTTATGAGGTCACCGTCTTAAAACACTGAAATTGTGCTATAATAAAATTTTCTTAAATTCACCACAAACGGCGAATACCTATTTTTGTTTTAGTTACTGACCAAGGTATATTAATTATAAGGTAGTGTTAACAGAGCAGCTGATTGTTTTTTGCTAATACACTTTGGATTTTTTTTATATCTAGTTTGACAGTGTGCTGGCACTTTGAAGTGTAGGCATGCTGTCAAACTCCATATCAAGGTATATTAATTATAAGGTAGTGTTAACAGAGCAGCTGATTGTTTTTTGCTAATACACTTTGGATTTTTTTATATGTAGTTTGACAGTGTGCTGGCACTTTGAAGTGTAGGCATGCTGTCAAACTCCATATATAAAAAATAAAATGAATTCGCTCCGTATTTCTGAATTCGATGACGACACTACCTTATAATTAATATATCTTGCTCCATATATAAAAAATAAAATGAATTCGCTCCGTATTTCTGAATTCGCCGACGACACTACCTTATAATTAATATATCTTGTTACTGACCATACTTAATTTAATCTATCTTTATATTGAAAAATGAAGTCTGGTAACTCTATGTTATAGTTAATATGACGTTTTAGTACAAAGTTATTTTACATATTTTATAGAAAATATATTAAAAAACTTCATAAACAAGTTTAGTTATTAATAAAATAGATAGTTTTACAAAAGAGACCAAAAATAAAAAAACTGTGCGAAATGAAAATGTCAAACAATATGTCAAATTATAATCGACGAAAGTAGGACGAAAGCAAGTGTCATCAATATTGAAAAGAAGAAAATATCTTTAAACAATACACATTTTTTTGTTGTATAAAACTGATTAAAATTAACAATTTAAAAAGAAATTTTACATTTTTCGTGTGCTTCAAATGCCGAAAGAGTTTTAGACATTTGCAATTTCTTTAAGGTAAATTATAGTTGTAATATTTAATATAAATGTTAAAGATTAAATAAAAAGAAAAAATCCTTTTGGTTGATTTCGTTATCATCCTTATTTATCTTCCATATTTCTTTGTATTATGTTCTTGTTTTATTTTGTATCTTTTTTAATCACTTTTCTCTTGTCATCTCTTTTTTCTCGTTTTTCAGTAGAACGAGTGCCATAAAGCAAAATGTAAGAAAAAGTCAGTTCAGTGAATTTTTGTGAATATTTGCAAACTTGTAATATTTTTTCAAAAGATTATTGTAAGAAAAAAAAAAAACAAAAAGAAAACTTTGAGTAAAACAATTGAAAAATGTAAACTTATTAATTTTGTTGTGGAATGTAGTATAGAAGGATTCTGGGATGTCAGTAACGATTATGACTTGTGGCAACTAATATTCGTATTCACAAGGTTCTGAGATACACAAATACAATAATTTCTTCCAAAGGATATTTTTTGTGTAACGCCCTTAAATATTTGTTAATTAATATCGTGTTAATAAAAATGATTTATTTCGGCATTGAATGAAAATAATCCTGTAAAGTTTTTAAAGATAGAGACTTTCAATTTTAAATATTTTTTGCAATTCTGTAAAATATTAATTGCCTTGCCTAATTTGTATGTGTGCTGCCTAAAAGCACAATAAAAATGGATCAATTTTCACATGATCTAACAGTGGCCTTGGAAGAAACTTCCTTACTAGATCGTGCACGCGTCAGTCGTTGGGGCCAACAGAGAAGACGTACACGGTCAACTGGCAATTTACGTAAGTAAGATCTCGTTTTGCTGATAACAAACATAATTGTAAATAAGTTTTTGCGCATTTCTATGCCATTGACGAAGAAATCATCAAATAATATGTTCTATGTTAAACTTTTAGCATGTGCTCCACAACCAACAGAGGATTCCAGCAGTCCTACTGACATAGCCCATGGAACTACACAAAATACACACCATCCAACAAACACAAACAACAATGATGGACTTGATACTCAAAACATTCATTTACCGAGTGACTCGGATGAAAAAGATGAAGCGGGTGTACCACGTCTACCTTGCAAGGCGTTGAACCAAGCATCAGTGCGCTTAATGGGCACATTAGAATCTGATTCCTTAAATGAGACCTTCAGTCCAGCGAGGTAACAAATTATTCTCTTTAAATAGATAAAATTGCTTTTTAAATAAAGAATTTATCTTGTAGATTTTTCAAACCGAATGCGCGCCGGAAGCGCAAATTAAAACGGATTACAATGGACTATGAAATGAGTACAGGTGTAGAGCTACAAACTGAATTATTGGAGCCACCAACCACGTCAAACTGTTTATCGCCTACTGCTAGCGGTAGTGGAAATATTGATGGTGGTACTGCTACTACTATTGCTGGATGCACCGGTGGAATAATGCGCAAACGAGTTCTTAAGCCAGACCCGAACTCTCGTTCACAGCTCTTCTTTTGTGGCAAACGCAAGCGTTCGAATCGTGATCGTTATCATGAACACGACCATTCATCTAGCATGCCACGACACAACAACCATTTAGATGAATATCGAATGAGACCACGTAGCTTTTCATCAACTTCGAAACCTCATAGCGATCGTCTCTTGCCCTTGAACAAAGGTTTATTGTCAAAAATTGAACGCATCTCACAGCAACAAAAGACTGAAACTGCCACCACCAGCAGCGCAGCATTGGAATATTTGGCGTCGTCAGGATCGACAACACAACAACAAGCCGATGGCACATCGTCAACCACTATTGAGCAGGACACAGCTACTTCGTATTGCAACACGGATGGAGAAACACAAAATTCCATAGGAATGTTTGTGCCTTCTCCCTTAATGGCAGCTGATGACATAGTCGAAACTATTGAAGAGTCGTCTTTGCCTCAAATCAGTCAATTTAATGCAATGTCACAACAGCAGCAACAACAGTTGCAGCAGCAAGAGAACAATTTTCGTAATCATCGTAAGAAAAGTAGTGGCCATCACAATCGCCGCCGCCTTTTACAGTTTGCGGTCAACCAACATTCTATGGATTGTGAGGAGTTAAATGACTTTAGTTCTAGCTCTTTGAGTTCTTCCGATTCTGAAGACAATAATGCTGCCAACGATACGGATCGAGAGGGTGACGATGAATTGACAGACTGGCCAGGTAACGAAAGCATTTGCGGTGAGCTAAAATATGACAGCAAACGTAAGCTTACGAAACGAAATGCTCTACCACAAATAAAATCCGATCCGGAAAGTGTAAATTCCATGTTAATGGCTGAAGACGATACTGTTATGTCCAACACTACTGCCGTTGGAGATAGTTCCTCCCTAAACTGGCCCCCTTCAAGTGCCGCTGAATATCGCGAAGCTGTGGACTTACCATTCCAATCATCCGAGCCCATAACTATAGCCGCTAAAACGGGATTTTCATCTATATGCCGCGGTAATGTGAATATTGCAGCCGAAGAGCATTTGATTATGCCACTCAAACAGATCGAAAGTGAAATGTCAGGTGAAACATCTAATCCATTTCTCTCTTCACCACCATGCCAACCGAACGAAGTTCGTGAAATACGAGCCGGTTGTCGTCGTGTAAAAGGCGAACGACCAGGCTTCAGCATTAAGACTTCAGTAAATGAACGATTGGCACGATTTCTTCAAGATCCACGCCAGTTACAAATACGTCTGCCCGATATTGAAATCTACGAACACGAGAGTCTCATCAATTTGGCCACATTGTATTCATTACAGATGTCATTGGATAATGGTTGTGCAGTGCTTAACAAAACGAGGTAAGAGTAATGATGAATACTTTAAATAAATAATTAAATTAATATAATATTGAAAATAATACCTAAATATGGTTAGGTCTAATGAGATCAGGTGTTTTTTTTTATTAAAAGCTGATTTACCAAAAAAACAGTGTTTACAATAAATTATTTAAAAATCAATGTAGGAAAATGTATTTTTAAATAATTTAAAGTTTTTCTAAGTGATTTATGCGCTTTTTGAATCTGCCTTGTCCGACGACCTGAAGCATATTTGATCAGTAGTATATTTGGCATGCCGATTAGGATGACTTTTTAATTTTGACAAAAATACTTTCTCTATCAGTGACATTTCTAAATCTTTTTGCATATACTCGTTTCATATATACCCAGTCATAATCTGGTTGTATTCCTTATGGTGCCTCACTATTGGATACCGTTTTTTCAAATTGGTTTTTGAACGTCTTTATTCAAGGTGGATAATTCCCTTTCCTTAGTACGATCTTTACTTTTCAACCATGTCTCCACACATTTAAGACAGAGATTTATTTGATTAGCTTGTGTCATCATTTGTGTCATCATCGAAAGTATAATTTGTTTATAGTCCGTATGCTTCGATTATGTAGTCACTTGAACTTAACTCCGAACAGCCAGATAGCTAAAACTCCTGCAATTTATGAGTACACACTGGCAGTAAACGTTTATATATTAGCCACGATCTTATTTTTAAATATTTTTGCGAACAGAAATACAAACATATAGACTAATATACAAGGATACTGAAGGAAATTGTTAGAATCCCAGTTTTGAGATCGGAAATAAATTTTATCACTTTAGTTTTGTACAGACTAAATATTATTTATATATCTATTGTTTTCTAATTAATTTCTTTTTCAATATTACAGCAATACAACACAATCCGTTAATATCGATCAGCAAAGTCTTCAGAGTCGTCTATTACTGAGTGATTTTAAAAGACGCTGTTATGACAGTAAAGGCAGTGAACTATTACATAAATAAAATATGAATTATGAAGCTTAGCTCCCATCATCACGCCTCCACTCATTCACTACTCCTCTAACTTAACTATACATATGTATATGTACATATTTAATGTATGTATAACTATGTATGTTGAATAATATTATTGTATGTATATGATTTTAGTCTTTTAGCATCTTAAATCATTTCTAAAATACAATTTAACTTTCTAATAAATTAATTTATATATTTAAATGTATGTGCACCCTATGTCTTAGTAATGTATGTTAATGATTATAATAATTACCACAATTATTCTTGCAAAAATGAAACAGCAACAATTTGATTTATATTATTTTAAAATATAAAGATTTATTTTTATTTGTTTTCTTTTGCTTTTAAGTTAATTTTCTTTTTTTTTTTTTTTGTTTAAACCTATATTACAAAGATTATATCTTTAGAATATAAGAATATTTTTATTAATTTTATTTTGTTGTACAACTTTTAATTGCAATATTTAACAAAAAAAATGTACAAAATTTTCGAGTTTTTTTTAAGTTTTAAATAAAGTTTTTTAATGAATAAAACAAAATTTAAAAATATCTATAGATAATAGTGTAAATATGAATAAATAAAATAAAAACTTAAATTCAAATGAAAAGGAACTGTTCTGCAATAATAATAATAATAACTTGAAAACGAAAGCAAAAACCCTATTCAATCATTCGATTCGCAATATCATTAAAATTAATGTTTTTATCATTATATTTCGTAAAATTCATTAAAATATTTGAACACATTAAATATTTTATTCAAATGAGTTTGGCTTTGTACTATTCTTTGGAACAAAAAAGAAAAACAGTTTTTAATTCATTAATATTTCAAAATAACTTGGTAAAACAAAACTATTTTTTAAGTTAAGAAAACATTACATATTTGTTTATAAGTTTACAAAAATGTTTCCAGAACAAAGAAAGTTTGTTTGAAAAAAATTACCCATTAAATATTGATTTTATAAAAAGAATTAAAATTAATAAAAAAAAATTAAATTCTAAAGTTAGTAACTTAAACACAATGCAAAACCGGAGAATATTTCATAAGATTCGTCTTCTTCTTCGATTAACTCTTCGACATGTTCTCTACTGTAAATACGTATGGGATCTTCATACTCATCCTTGCGAGCCATGACTTTTTTATTTTGTCGAAATATTGATTTATAATTAAACATTTTCAGATTTAGGGCATAATCAAAGAGGGTACTATTCAAAAGTGCTTCATTGTTTACCTCGTCGAATTGAATAGTTTCGGTTTCACTATAGTAATTAAGTTTATATCGATTACTGTAGAAGGTCTCTCGCAGTTGTGCTGTTTTAAATTGTACTAGTAATGTGTTTTCGTCATTAAGTAGGACTGTTTTAATTATATCGCTGCGCACATAATGAACATCCATTTTATGACCCAGATACAAAACGTAGTTTGTTAAATTAGAACCTGGAATAATTAGGGTTCTGCTTATTTTTAAACTTGAATTTCGTATCAAATTCGAGAGGATACTAGTTATACGTGTATTTGGTGATTCGTTAACAATTTTAATACGATTATGTTCAACTTGGAGATTTGCATAGTTTTGCTCTAATTTGTTTTTCTCCGTAGTTATCTTATTAATGTTTATATTTAAAGTTCTCATGCCTTTTTGTAGTTCATTTATCTTAATCTCAGCTTCTGTAAGTTTCTTTTCAAGGTTTCCATTGTGTTCCAGAGTGCTTTCAAGTGTTTCTTGTAACATTTGACATTTGATTGTGTTTCCTGCTTTTGGCACCCTTTCATTAGTTCTTTTGAGTTCCAGCTCTAATTGTGCTATTTTTGAGCGACATTCTCGTAGTTGGTCTTCAAGCAGTGAGGAATTTGGCTCTTCATCTAGTTCCAAGTAAATTTTATGCGTTTTTGGATTATAAGCTCGACACTGTGGACAACTAGTGCTTCTATAAAGAGACAGAAGATTATCTTATTAATATGTGAGTCTTTTCAACTTCGGTATTTGTTTTTGACTTTTAGATTGATGCGTTAAACTTAGGAATTTTATGTTTGATTTCATAACGATCTCTTTAAAATTAACATATTTATGTATCAAATTTCATTATACATACATACAAATTATTCTTAATATTTCGACATGACATTTAATGTAACATTAGTATTCTGAGCTGACAAAAAAATCCTAATTAAGAAATTAAATAGGTACATATTTACCGGCTTTTCCATTGTTGCATACAAACAAAATGATAAATGTGCCCACAAGTAGTGGAGTACAAATTATTATCAGCTCCTTTAAAACGTTCGAAACAAATTGCGCAAGACATTTTTCATTAAGGAATACGCGCACCAAACAAAAACACTTTTATTCTCCCAACAACTCTATTCAGGAATTCAAATTTACTTTTGTACAATTTGCATTTACTTAGATGTATGCAGGATGTCAATTGATCAATGTTTACTACTTTCATTACATGGACTTTAATGCACTGTAATTGTCAAACAGAATATATAAAAAATTGACAGCACAAAATTTTCTCTACGCTACAGTTACCATATTAATACTCCTTATTTCCTTTGTTTGATGGCTATTTAGCGATTTTGAAAGGAGTTTAACAAAGAGAAAGGTATTTTAGCGATTTTAATTACTGTTACCAGATTGATCGATATTTTTGTGTAAATATGTAATTGAAATTATGGAATTTAACGGCTTTTGCATTTTTGAAAGTTGTACTATAAATATGATCAAAAGCCATAATACAACGATTGTTATTGTTATACATTTGATCTCAAGCAAAACTTAAAGAATTATTTGTTTTGATAACTCCATCTAAGTTCTTGAGTGAATGCCAAAGAGCTTTACGTGAGTACCTGCCGTGTTTGCCTATCTCACGGTGGTCTTTTTCATCCACTGGGTGAGCAAAAATGTAACGACGAGCTATCTAATCTCTTGCCATAGTAGTCTCAATCTAACCCCGACAAACGACAAATCCTATATGTCGCTCAACCACATTACTGAGATGGCTCTGTTAATTCGGCAACAGCACCTAGGGGACGTAATTGGTAGTCCGAAACACGGATCATTTTAATAGACACGACTTATTTCAGTGGCCACAAAGACTCACTGTGATAAGTTGAGCATGTTTTAGAGTAAACTCTAACACACTAAAGCATGAAGGAAAATCGCCGATAAATTAAAGAAAGGGCAGTGACGACATTGCACCTCAACTCCGCCTCCGTCTTGCTAAACCATTATTTAGCACATCGTAAGTGATTGGTGGCACTCCATCCGCCAAAAGCACCAGAAAAACTCCACTTCGTATACCCAATCTTTGCATTATCAGCTCAAATCCAAAATTTTATTAATCCACAGTCATGCTCTGTAGTTTCTACTGATCCTAGCATCTGGAAGCGATAACAGAAATGTATCTTGAAAATTATATTATCCTGAGATTTAGGTTTGAACCACAGCCACTATGTGGATTCCGAAGGAACCTCAACCAACTGACCAGCCAGGAGAAGTCCTGTGGGCAACTGGCCACCCATAGTACCAGATTATGTGGTGCTCTGGTTAGACCTCTTTTCAACTAATGCAAGGACTAGGCCATTCAGTGAATTGTAAACACCAGGATATAGTCCCGCAGACTAGAGGTACTGGTAGCACCTTTCTCCCTTCGGATCGCAATACACCAAGATGAGGTCTATCATCAAGGAAACATGCCCGGGGTCCAAGTTTTTGAGCGAATGTAATCAACTCGTAAAGTTTTATCAAGGAAAAGCGATATAAAATGTAATATTATTTCGTTATTGGTAACGAAGTAACCAGTGGATTAATATGGTTTAATCGACTCATAGTGATTCTAAGCCGATTAGTATATTTTATGTTGGATATACGATCAAGATTTTTGTGCTTTACAAACATCTGCAAAAACGTATAATACCCTACTAATCGATGTGCAAATCGAGCTATTTTTGGTGAAAACTTCTTAATATATGTATGAACATTAGGGTCAAAACCAAAATTTGGATACTAAATTTAGAAGAGGCATAAACTGTAGCCCCTATCCATGCTTTTTTCGTGGGTCAAACAATATACTTGCATATATAGAAAATTCAAAAGTTTGTTTAGAGTAAATATCGAAAACTATATCGCTCGAGAAAAAGTGATATACTTTTTTTACGTACTTTGTGGAATGGGTGGGGCCGATTTGAAATTTTCAAAAATTGTATAAAAGTTAAAAAACCCTAATGTACATATGATATGATCACTAGTGATTTCTGTCAATATCAGTGTGAACTAAAATTAAATTAAATATTTTCGATATTCGTTAGAAAGTTGCATTTAAATTTAAAAATTCAGGATATCAACATAATTGTCCTTTTGAGTCCAAGGCGAAACGACTATAACATAAAGTCATTCATACAGATTTTTGTTCATGAAACTTTATATTGACATCAAACATCATAAATAAAATATACAACGAATTCATCTTAATTTTCCTTTCAATTTTATAAAACTTTTATATGATTTGTATCCTCAATAGAGCATTAGTTTAAAAATGGTTAATAACGAAGTGATATGGTGTTGCCAACACAAAAAAATAAAGTACAGAGTTGTATACAAGTGTAGCGAAAATTTTATTTTAATATAACGGTCGTATTAAAACATTACCTTTGTAGTGTTATAAAATACCGATTACATAATGTATGAGTACTAGTATGATTATTTGCCATTTACTTTTTCATTCATATCACAAGAATGCATTATAAAACAGTTTAGTTGTCACTGTTGCAAAAATAAATACATTAGAAAAGTTCACGAACATCTTTTAATAACGTTGATTTTCACAACTACTTACACTGCCATTCTATAAAAAATACATAGTTTTTGTTTCCTCTTTTTTTTAAAGAAAAAAGTGAATTGTTTTTCGGATTCAAGTGAAAATTCCGTGTGATATATATTGTTTTTTTTTTTTTTGTATAGATTTCATTCGCCTTTGCATATTTTGTTGTAGTTGTGTTTATAGCTTTTATGTGGTAGAGCCGACATTGACGACCTCATTCGAGGCCAATATGCAATGTTCTCGTTAATTTTGCGGTGAAAATACATTTAAACTATATTTCGTTCGGAGTGTATGAAGTTGTAAGAATTTAAGAAAACATTAAAAATAAAACTTGTGATAATCTTGTGCTTTTTATATTAAAAATTACTGTTATTATTAAAAAAATATATAATAATATGTGAAAATTTATAAAAAAAACCAACTAATAGTTTCATTAATTTTGTTTATATGTGCTGATAAAATAATTATTGATTTAAAGAAATCGTCAAGGAAAAAATGGTATGTTGTAGAATAATTTACGTTTATAGTTTTCTCTTATTTTTTGGACAATTGTATTATAGTTAAATAAAACATACTATAAATTTTCATTAACAATTCCTCTCGAAATACCTAAATTTTATATTTATTTAATAGAAATAGGTATTTAGAAAAAAAACAGGGGTATTACAATTCTAGTTGAGTTGGTTTATTGATTTTTCGCATAAACTTACAGTCATTTCTCTCTTCATTCTTCTTTTTTCACCCCTGTCTCTTTTACGCATTAGCTGTTGATAATATTTTGTTATTTTTACCATAAAAACAATCAAGTGTCAATCACACGGTCAGCATTGTTTAGTTATCATGCCAGAATTAATGAAAAGAATGATTCAAATGATATTATATATAATTTCATAAAACTGGACCCAATCATCACAACTAGTTCCTAAAATGGTGTGTTTCATAAATATAATTATTTACAAAGATGATAATTCCTAGTAAAGGAAACGGTTCCAGAAACGCTTTATATGTATGTAAATAGGTGCCAAAGTGACAAATTTAAACAAAAACAAGTAAGAGTTTATAGTCGGGCATGGTCGACCATATGATACCCTATACCAGTGATTATGCTAAAAATTTTGATTATTTTTTAATAATGCATTTAATTTCATTTTTACCTTAATTCAGAAATATTTTAACAATTTCTTGACAACAAGTAAGAATTCGGACATGCCGAATCTTATATACCCACCATCAAATCATTCTTATTAATAAACTTTGATATTATCGAAGCAATTTTCTTATTTATTAGATCAGTGTTGAATTTTATTATCAAATGTCGATATTAATATGAACAAATGGGCTTAAGTATGGACCGTGTTCCTTCGAATAAAAAAAAAAAATAATTTTTGGTTAGTTATCGACCGATCCTCACCAAATTCAGCTGAAAAATTGCAGTTCTTATAAAACTACAGTAATTTAGAAGAACTTTTGAGCCAATGCTGAGCGTTAAAGCCATTTTCTGGAGTGAATCTTATATAAGGGTCTATTATAGACCGATCTTTATAAACTTTTGTACATAAATTATGTTTCGTAAAGAAGTTGTTTATTCGAATTTCATCGCCTAAGTCGTAATTTGAAGTAATTAATAAGTGTTAAAGTAATTTTCTAAAGTTGTAATTTATCGATCCATCTTCATCAAAGTCGGTAGGAAGATTTCAGTTGCCATAAAACTGGTTTATGTTGAAATTCATATATCTACTCGTAATTTAATGCCAGTAATGAGCGTTAAAGGCGCCCTTATACGGGGGGGTGGGGTCAATTATGGACCGATCTCCTAAAATTTTGAATGATTTTTGTTCATACAAATATTGTTTATGTTGCATTTTTGAAAATTTTTGAGCGTTTCTAAAGGGGACCTTAAATGGGGGGTAGGGTCCTTTATTGACCGATACTCATAAATATCTGAAGAGGACATTGAAATTGTGAAATTTCATCGCCGTAGTCGTATTTGAGCGTTACAGTAATTTTCTGAAGGGGACCTTATATGGGGGCCTTACAAATAAGGCTAGCACAAAACTTGTTTATGTAGAATTTCAGTGCTGTAATTGAATTTTTGACTCAGTAATTAATTAAAGTTAAGACCAATACTTGGAAAATTTGTTAGAGAGCTTTTTACTCGCACAAATAAAACATGTTTATGCCGAATTTCACCTCTTTAGATGGTTCTATTAGACAGTTATGAGCGTTAAAGTTATTTTTTAAAACCTTATATGGAGGGTAGGGACAATTATGGACCGATCGTTATAACATTTTACGAAGAGATTTAAGTTTCCATAAAACATGTTTATGCCAAATTTTACCGCTATAGATGCTTTTTTCAGCCATTTAAGAGCGATAAAGTAATTTTCTAAATGGGGCCTTATATGGGGGCTAGGCGAAATTGTGGACCGATATTGTACCATTTTCAATACCAAACAAACTGCATCAACTAAAAGTATCTATGCAAAATTTTAGACAGAAAGACAGACGGACCGACAGATCGTCTTAGAATCTATTAAGGACCCAGAATATATGTATATACTTTTGTGGGTCTTAGACGAATATTTCAATGTGTTACAAACGGAATGACAAAAACAATATACCCCCATCTTTTTTGATGTTGCGTATAAAAAGTTATTTGCTAAAAGAGGGGTTATATGGGGCAGGGTTAATATACGTTAATACGTCTACATCAGTTATTTATGCAGAATATAATCGTGATATTAGTGTTTATAAGTGAATTTTGACCATCAAATCACTTTCTGAAGGGGACATTTTATGGGAAATAGGGTCACATGAAGCCCGATCATTACGAAAATCTGCAGTATCATTAAGACTTATATAGAACTAAGTTTTGTCGATTTTTGAAGTGCTACAAGATCATTTAACATATTTATGAGCTCAAAAGCCCTTTTCGGGAGTACGGTTGTATGTGGGACTACAGGAAATAATGGACCGATTTTAACCATTTTCTATAGGCGTCGTCCTTGGGTCAAAAGAAGAGTATGTGAGCACAAGGTTTACATGGACACACAGGTTTACATGGACAGACGGAGTGATACTAAGCCGATTGCGGTACTTTAAGGTGGGTGTAGGACTAATATTTTAAGGTCTTACAAACATCAGCACAAACACTATAGTGGTGTACGGTATAAAAACATCGATATCAACGACAATCTTAGAAAATGCCCGCGTTCTAGAAGTAGTTGTGGAATTAATACCGTTATTTAATAAAATTTCTTTAAATTTAATAGAGCTTTTCTGGATAATAAATGGGAAGTCTTATTTTCAATTGCGATTTTCTAAATTTTAAATAAAATATCTCGATTTATGTATATTGTTTTGTTTTTAATTTCAAATGAAACGTTCTGATTTCTAATTTAAAAGGAGATATCTTAATCTTAGTTTAAAACAACTATAATTGAGAATTAATTGCACATAATTGAATTGTGAGATTTTCGGAAGTTTACATATGACCCGATCCGAAAAAATCTTTTGTATATATTATTTTTGTATATATTATTCCCAATATCATTATTAAGTTATGAGTTATTTATGTTGAGGTGATGTTCAGAAGAGGGCTTTATATGGCAACTATGATCAATTATGGACCGATAGGAAAAATATTTCACAGAAATAATATTAGTTTTAATATTAGATTTATACATACATATATGCAAAATTTTTTGTTAATAATATTCTCTACACAGTTATTAAATATCAGTCCATTTTCCGGGAGTATTTTAATATGTATGGTAGCTATATGAAAATTTGAACCGACTATTTACTTATACTCTTATATTTTGTGTAATTTAAACTTGATTTGAGATGAAATCCAGTGCCAACCTCTATATAGTTATCTAAAATTTCCCAATTTTTTTCAAAACTTTTTTATAGAGTATATATTTTTTAAATCATGACTTTATGTATTATATATTGTAGAATTTTATAAAATTTTGATACAGACTTATGTTCACAACTTGTTTCTAAATTTCAGTAATCTAAAATGTGGAATTGAATGAGAATAGCTCAAAACCAATATGGGAGAAAGTGACAACGAAGACAAGAAGGCCAATAAAAGTGGTACAACTGATGCTAAACCCACAGCCAAAAAGCAGGAAAATGATCACTCCGATGTGGAAAGCAGAAACGGTGCATAATATATTCTTCTATCACATGGAAAAATATTTTAATATGATTTTTTAATTATATAGGCGATCATGATAAGTCGGACAAACAAACAAAACCGATTTACGCGCAAACATCTAAAGATGATGTCAATACTAAGGCCAACAGCGATTCTAAAGAGTCGGCTTCTGCAAAGCAAACACTTAATGCCACCACCCATCATCCGAATATTGCAACATCAAAGGACTCATTAAAAAGCAAAGAACCCATTCGTGTTGGTTTCTATGATATCGAAAGAACCATTGGAAAAGGGAATTTTGCAGTGGTAAAATTGGCACGACATCGTATAACTAAAAATGAGGTATTTTGTATTAGCTTTCACACTTAATTGTTAATAATATAAAAATTTTATTTAATAAAGGTTGCTATAAAAATTATCGATAAATCCCAATTGGATACAACCAATTTGCAAAAAGTTTATCGTGAAGTGGAAATTATGAAACGTCTGAACCATCCCCATATTATTAAGTTGTACCAGGTACGAAATCAATTTTAATAAATTTTAAAAGATTTTAAAGATGTTTTCTTTTTTGTAGGTGATGGAAACAAAAAATATGATTTATATTGTTTCGGAGTACGCAAGTCAAGGGGAAATATTTGGTAGGTTTTGTGTACAAAGTATTTCAAATACTATTTAAGGATCTATAAAATTAATGGATTTTTTTATTGTATATTCCTTTAGATTACATTGCCAAATATGGTCGAATGTCGGAAACTGCAGCACGTTTTAAATTTTGGCAAATTTTATCAGCTGTGGATTACTGCCACAAAAAAGGAATTGTCCACAGAGATCTTAAGGTAAATTTTGACAAAATAAGAAAACATGCCCTTTATAATGACCGATTTTTTTAAATTAGGCTGAAAATCTACTTTTGGACAATAATATGAATATAAAAATAGCTGATTTTGGATTTTCGAATCATTTTAAAGTAGGAGAACTACTTGCCACTTGGTGTGGCTCGCCACCATATGCAGCACCTGAAGTTTTCGAAGGAAAGCAATATACTGGACCAGAAATCGATATATGGGTAAGTGTAAATGAAAATGCTGTCTTCCTAAGTGTCTATATAGTTAAGGGAAGTAAGATTGGAGTTTTGATTTAAAAGTCCAATGTGCTTTCTTCAGACCCCATTATTATTTATTTGTAAAATTTTTACCAAACTTAAATTTATTTTGGTCGCTGTTAAATTTCTTTACAGTCACTTGGTGTTGTACTATATGTTTTGGTATGTGGAGCACTGCCATTTGATGGTTCTACATTACAAAGTCTTAGGGACCGTGTACTCTCTGGACGTTTTCGTATACCATTCTTTATGTCTTCAGGTACAATTCAGTTTATTTTTTAACAATTTCAAATAAGTATTTATTTGCTATTAATGCTAATTGTAGAGTGCGAACATTTAATAAGACGTATGCTAGTGTTAGAGCCATCTCGACGCTATACCATCGAACAAATTAAACTTCATCGCTGGATGTGTCCAGAAATTTTAGAACTATCAAATATAGCGAAATTCAACGTTAATATGGATGGTACCACAAACATCGAACCCAACGAGGACATAATGCGCATAATGTCCGAATTCGCTGGCATACCACCGGAAAAGACCAGAGCCAGTCTTAAGAAGAACAGTTACGATCATGTAGCAGCTATTTATCTTCTCTTGCAAGATCGTGTTTATAACAAGAAGATGGCACAAGAAAAACAACAAATGTGTGGAGGAAGTATTGGCCTTAATAATACCACCAGTAATGCCACTATTGCATCATCGTCTTCACTGCCAAAATACGCTGGTGGTAGTAAACAGCATGCCCTATCAACCTTATCTACGCTATCGTCAGCCTCTGCTACAGCCCAGTATTCGTCCAAAATATTGTACAAACACAATAGCAAGACATCGGCAGCAACAGAACATCATCATCAAAGGTTGAAAGCAAATCATGTACTGCATGAGGATCAGGTTAGCAATAATTTGCATCTGATAAAGGAACACTATAGTCTTTTGTCGAAACTTAGTCGACAGACCTTGTTGAGTGAGCGATCGGCTCCGGTTACAGGAACAGCTGAACATTTGCTGCAGTCTAAAATGGTCGATAATCATCTGAGATATCATTCGGAAAAGAGTGGTGGACGCACATCACGCCAGGACTTGGGCAATAGCCATCGCCCAATAGGTTGTTCATCTTACAGTATAGACAATAATAAACATTCCATTACCAATCTAAATAGTCGCGATGTATTGGCTTCGAATCAGCGTCTTAATGGTGGGCCACCGGTGCGTATTATTGACGAACGTTCTATGCGTGAACGTATGTTTAGTGGAGCTGGTGGTATTGCTCATTTCAATATTGAAGAAAGTATCCTAAAACAGAGTTCAGAAGACTGTAGGCTTTTACTGCAAAAGGCCACTGCCATATCAGAATCCAAGAACAATAAACACCAACAAAAACCAAAAACGACTGAGGATAAACAAATGTCCGATACAAAACTCAACGAATCCAAGCCCCTATCCAGCTCAACTAGTTTCGATTCATCCGCAGTTTTAGATCAAAGTCTAAGTTTTCGCTACAAAATGTCTGCCGAGGCCACAAAACTATTTCAAACTCTACAAGAAAGTCCTCTACCAGTGGAGGTAAGTACAATTATAATTATAATTATAATAACAGAGTTAAGCTAAGATATTTGTCTATTTTAAGGAATCCGGTAGCAAAGAAATTACCAAAACTAAATCAAATATTACTCTCAACTCGAATGGTGATCACAAGTCAAACTTGTCGGGCAAAACTCAATTACAAAATAATGCGGAAAATTACACAGGGTAACATAATAAAGTTTGTTATTCTATATAATTTACTTATAATGTAATGCTTTTAATGTATGTTTCAGTACAAATGGCAATGATAGATCTACAACGAAAGTTACATCGAAGAAAGTTTCTGCTCAATGTAGTTCAAGTACAGATGAAGGTTGTGAAACTGATATGGGAGGGACAAGTGATACAAAAGGTTAGTATTTTAATTAACTAATGCTTGCATTATTTAACATAACAAATTATAATTGCAGATACTTCGCAATCCTCGATCGATTTAAGAAATCAACGAATACAATCATATGCTAGTAGCAGCTCTTCGAGTGGTGTCATTGGCAGTTATTCGAAGAGTCTAAGTCAAAATTTAAGTAGAGGATCTTCGAAAAGTAATTGTTCAACATTTGAGAGTATTGATTTTAATTTAGTTACAAGCATCGATCTAGCCGGTAGTCTACCTTCATGTGCTAGTAACTCCACACTTGCAGCTTCGGCTTCCGGCGCTGCTAGTGTTACCGGAAGTGGTAGTGTCAATTCGGAACATTCATCGGAACGTTCATTTTATAATAGCAATAATTCATGTGTATATATGCCACCTGTAACAAGTACATCGTCAATGTTATCCACTAAGTCGACTCCCTATACCGATAAACGTTCACCGATACATTTTAGGTATGTATTTAATTTCTACTATTTTATTTCCATGATAGATCAAATAGAGCATGAAATTATATTTTTTTCACACACCAAACAATCGATATCTCAATCATTCGCACGGCGATTCAATTAACCAATTAGGATATACGATTTGATCTCAGTAGGCTTTGTATTTTGAACACCCATTATATATAAAATGTTGACCAAATACTTTATTATTGACTAGCTATACCCAGTGTGCTTCGCTACCCTCATCGTAATGGAATAAAATAAATATTATTGTAAATGTGTATATATCTGCAATATCAAAAAGTCCCCTATTTAAATTTATGTTTATATATTCAATATTTTAGAAAACTCAAAAAGTACCAATGAAGTACAAAAAGGTAACAAAAGACCTCTTTTATTTAATTTCATGTTCCTAAGTTCAATATTATAGAAAATTAAAAAAGTACCAGTTGAAGAACGAATAATTACCAAAGGGTCCCCTTTTATAGATTTTCATTAACTCTGGGCTCCACATGGTTAATTTCATGTTATAAAAAACACAAAAAGTACCTTTTGAAGAACGAAAAATTACAAAAAAGTCCTCTTTTATATGTTCTCACTTACTCCGGGCTCTACGTACTTAATTTCATGTTTCTAGGTTCAATATTATAGAAAATTCAAAAAGTACCTTTTGAAGAACGAAAAAGTGCCGAAAAGTCCCCTTTTATAGGTTATCACTTAATCTTGGCTGTACTTGCTTAATTTCATGTTTCTAGGTTCAATATTATAGAAAATTCAAAAAGTACCTTTTCAAGAACGAAAAAGTACCAAAAAGTCCCCTCTTGTAGATTCTCATTTACTCCAGGCTCTATATGCTTAATTTCATGCTTCTAGGATCAATATTATAGAAAATTCAAAAAGTACCTTTTGAAGAACGAAAAAGTACCAAAAAGTCCCCTTTTATAGATTCTCATTTACTCCAGGCTCTACATGCTTAATTTCATGCTTCTAGGATCAATATTATAGAAAATTCAAAAAGTACTTTTTGAAGAACGAAAAAGTACCAAAAAGTCCCCTTTTATAGGTCCTCACTTAATTCGGGCTCTACATGTTTAATTTCATGTTTCTAGGTTCAATATTTTAGAAAATTCAAAAAGTACCTTTTGAAGAACAAAAAAGTACCAAAAAGTCCCCTTTTATAGTTTCTCACTTAATCCAGGCTCTACATGCATACTTTCATGTTTCTATTTTCAATATTATAGAAAATTCATAAAGTACCTTTTGAAGAACGAAAAAGTACCAAAAAGTCCCCTTTTATAGATTCTCATTTACTACGGGCTCTAAATGCTTATTTTCATGTTTCTAGGTTCAATTTAATAGAAAACTCAAAAAGTACCAGTCGAAGGACGAAAAAGTACCAAAAAGTCCCCTTTTATAGATTCTCATTTACTCCAGGCTCTAGATGCTTAATTTCATGCTTCTAGGATCAATATTATAGAAAATTCAAAAAGTACCAGTCGAAAGACGAAAAAGTACCAAAAAGTCCCCTTTTATAGATTCTCATTTACTAAGGGCTCTACATGCTTAATTTCATGTTTCTAGGTTAAATTTTATAGAAAACTCAAAAAGTACCAGTCGAAAGACGAAAAAGTACCAAATAGTCCCCTTTTATAGATTCTCATTTAATAAGGGCTCTACATGCTTAATTTTATGTTTCTAGGTTAAATTTTATAGAAAACTCAAAAAGTACCAGTCGAAGGACGAAAAAGTACCAAAAAGTCCCCTTTTATAGATTCTCATTAACTAAGGCCTCCGCATGCTTAATTTCATGTTTCTAGGTTAAATTTTATAGAAAACTCAAAAAGTACCAGTCGAAGGACGAAAAAGTACCAAAAAGTCCCCTTTTATAGATTCTCATTTACTCCGGGCTCTACATGCTTAATTTCATGTTTCTAGGTTAAATTTTATAGAAAACTCAAAAAGTACCAGTCGAAAGACGAAAAAGTACCAAAAAGTCCCCTTTTATAGATTCTCATTTACTAAGGGCTCTACATGCTTAATTTCATGTTTCTAGGTTAAATTTTATAGAAAACTAAAAAAGTACCAGTCGAAGGACGAAAAAGTACCAAAAAGTCCCCTTTTATAGATTCTCATTTACTAATGGCTCTACATGCTTAATTTCATGTTTCTAGGTTAAATTTTATAGAAAACTCAAAAAGTACCAGTCGAAGGACGAAAAAGTACCAAAAAGTCCCCTATTATAGATTCTCATTTACTAAGGGCTCTACATGCTTAATTTCATGTTTCTAGGTTAAATTTTATAGAAAACTCAAAAAGTACCAGTCGAAAGACGAAAAAGTACCAAATAGTACCCTTTTATAGATTCTCATTTACTAAGGGCTCTACATGCTTAATTTTATGTTTCTAGGTTAAATTTTATAGAAAACTCAAAAAGTACCAGTCGAAGGACGGAAAAGTACCAAAAAGTCCCCTTTTATAGATTCTCATTAACTAAGGCCTCCGCATGCTTAATTTCATGTTTCTAGGTTAAATTTTATAGAAAACTCAAAAAGTACCAGTCGAAGGACGAAAAAGTACCAAAAAGTCCCCTTTTATAGATTCTCATTTACTCCGGTCTCTACATGTTTAATTTCATGTTTCTAGGTTCAATATTATAGAAAATTCAAAAAGTACCTTTTGAAGAACGAAAAAGTACCAAAAAGTCCCATTTTATAGATTCTCATTTACTCCGAGCTCTACATGCTTAATTTCATGTTTCTAGGTTTAATTTTAAAGAAAACTCAAAAAAGTACCTGTGTAGAACGAAAAAGTAGCGAAAAGTCCCTTTATTATTAATTTCATGTTTCTATTTCAATATCATAGAAAACTCAAAAAGGACCAGTTGGAGAATGAAAAGTACCAAAAAATATCACTTGATACCGGGGTTCCAAATAACACCCCATTAGGATATTTAGTGTTTCTAAATTTAAAAATTTTATCTAAATTGGATCATTGTGGTTGAATAAAATCAAATTTCCCGTTTTTACCCCTTTTGGTACTTTTTTCCTCCCCATTAACGAAATAAAAATTCTATTCCAAAAAGTTGCAACATCGTAGTGGGAGCCCGTTATTATGTATTCATATGTATAAGTTAATAAACCAAAAACGATGTTTTATGAAAAAAGTACCAAAAATAGGTACAATTTTAACCCCTTAAACGTCCGAATATCCAAAAAGTACTAAATTTAAATTTTTATTTTTTCGTTAAGTTATGAAGGAGTTAAAAATATTTTTTGAATGTGCACTGGTTTAAAAGATACATGGGGTGCGAAAAAAGTACCAAAATACAGTTTTTACCCGTTTATTCCCTAAAGGGGCCGAATTTTAAAAAAGTACCAGACACCTGTCCGTTTATTTTTTAAATGAACGGCGATAAGCTTTAAACTGTTTTTGTATCTTTTCTAGTTTAGGAGATATAAGGTTACCGAATTTACCCGTTTTTACCCTTTTTTACCCCCTAAACATTCGAATTTCCAAAAATCCCGTCTTAGTGGATCTATTTGGCGGGAGACCAACCTCCTGTCCAAATTTCAGCTCTTTAGCTTCAACCGTTTAGGCTGTGCGATGATGAATCAGTCAGTGAATCAGTCAGTCAGTCAGTCAGTCAGTCAGTCAGTCAGTCAGTAACGTTAGAATTTTATATATATAGATAATCAAATTTTTTTGTATATAAATTGATATGTATAATGAATTTCTTATACAACCTATTAGGGAAGGACGTCGTGCTAGTGATGGCTTAGTAGCCCAAGGCATTGTAAGTGCAGCAGGTCCTCTACACAATGGGACAGCGTACGGTAGTTATCGCTACGACAACCATAAACGCAATGGTTGGCTCGAACTGCAACAACTGCAAAGGGAAGCTCACACCCTTAAATCTAAGTACAGATCAAATCTGCCATTGGATGAGTTTAACAATTGTCAATTTCAACATAGTCAATTCTATACACTGTCAAACAGAATACCTGTGGAATTCCATCAACCATATGCGCCGCATTTGGTGCGTGCTATGGAAAATATGGAGAATTTTCCCGATAAAAATGGTACAATACATCCGTCATTGTATCATTATTTGCGTTTGGATGCAGCAAATGCCGCATATGCTGGCAGTATGCCTAGAGCTCATCATGAAGGTTTACTCTATAGTCAGCTGAATGCAGCTGCCATGTTGCCCATGCAAAAACCACCGCTGCAACAACAACTACTTCAACATAGATTGCTGCAACAAAAACGGCAGCTATTTCAAAAACAATATGCTTTGGAGTCGCATCTTGCGCGACCACATCACATGCTAAGAGAGCATGGCTACAAGTTAAGTCCTCATCCACATGGAGTGCCTATAACGCCCACATCTACACCACCGCCTCAAACCATGCCACATCCTGATGAACTAATGGAGTTGCATATGCTTGAACGCAGTGGCAAACTGCATCACAACTCATTGGCACCGTTAGCAGCATACTCCAGCAATCATCATGCCGCCATTAACAATCATTACATGAAAACAACATACATTAAACAGCAATCGGCCGATGTGGCTGTGCTACCCATGACCCGAAGCAGAAGTCCAAATATGAGTCGACATGCTTCGGAAACTTGGAATTCCTTAAGTGCAGCGACCATAGTGCACAAGAAAATGTCACCGGTAAAACTGGAGAATGGAACTGTAAATCGTGGATCAGCCTCGACGCCAACATCTGCGCTAGCACCACCACCACCGACACCACATGCATACCATGTAATTGTTAATCCGTCATACGTTATATTTCGAAATTATTAATTGGACAACTGTATGTTTCTCTTTCTTTCTCTTTCATGCAGCCAACATCTTCATCAAATTCATTGACATTAGCCTCAACTCCACCGCCACATCCTACTTCATCTTTAACACTCTCATCACCACCTGCCACACCATCAACGTCTCTGGCACCAACGGTTTCCTCGCTGTCACTGACAAAGCAATCATCTTCCAACTCATCCTCGTCATCATCCTCATATTCATCATGCACAACAGCAACAAATTTATATACACCGAATTGGCAGACTGTCATAAAACCGCTTAGCGAAAGTCCTATATTAGAAATGGCCGAGCACATGGAATCCGTTTAAGAGCACATACCGTATCCTTTATATTCTCTATCTGTTACGCTCTTTCTACTTACTCATCCCCTCAATACTTTTCCTACTCTACTCCTATATCGTAAATCAATTATTAATTTTTTTTTTTTGGTTGGCAAAAATAGTAATATTTAAAATCATTAAGTAGTTAATACCCAATAAGCAAAAACCTTTGAAATGATGTAAATATGTATTTGAAAACCTATTCAAATTTCAAACATAGCCTTTGAGAACAAATTTGAAAATTTTTGTTTTCAAATGGAAAATTATGGCCTTCTCAAACAAAAAGGCAGTTAGAAATCAAACGTATTTTTCAAATGTATTTCAAATTTAAAAAAAGGCTACAGGAAAGCTTGAAACTAAAAAAATTTTCAAACGTATTTCAAGTATTCTTTATTATTATTTTCATACATATTTCAAACCCTAATTATAATGCTAACTATTGCAAAATTCATATATTTTTTTACATCACCTGAAAATAAAACATTCATACATTTATTTTAGCATATTTTTCTTTTATATCTCCGATTATTTCTCCTATATTTAACGTTTTTTCGCTCCCTTGCTGTAGAAAAAATGTTCTGTTTTTATTTTTCTAAAATAATTTATTTTTTGAAAGAAACTTTTCTAAGTTCAATTAAAACAAAACTTTGAAAATTTTATAAATATCACACATTATATTTTTTTAAACGTTTTTTGAAATTATCATGTTTATTTCAAAGGCTAAACTTTAAAATTTGAAAACAATTTGGAAAATACATTATTTAGTTAAGAAAATTTTCAAAAATATTCACAGGTTTGAATTGATGTTTATTGGGTAACAACAACGACGACAACAACAACAACAATTCTCAATTAGTGTTTACTCTAGTGTTTTAAATTATTAAATTTAATTATTTATTGACATATGTATTGTTGGAGATGATTAATCGCAGATTAATGATCTCTTATTTGAAAACAATTTTTATGTTACAAAAAGTGTTTTTAGGCTTTAAAATTTATTTGGTGACATTTAATTGACAACACTAGTTGGAACACAACATAAATTCATACATAATTGTTTATGTATTAATTATAACAACAATTTACATAACTACACATATACAAACAAACATATATTTATTCATAAAGTAAATAATATTTACATAAATACATAGATAAAACAAATAGCCTAAACATTTTTCATCCATAAATTAATATCTTATATATTATATACATTTGTTATACATATGTATAAACTATATATAAAAATATATAACAGAATACTTAGATAAAAAGATCAGTAAACAACATAATTTAATGTACAATAACACACTATACTTCATACCTAAATTCTTATTTAAGGCAAAGCAAGCCGAATATAAATAATGACTTTACAACACTAACTGCAACAAGATTATTCCCCACCTGTTGCACAATTCTTTTCCTATCGTATTAGGAAATATTTCTTTTTATTCCTTTCTTTGAGAAAGTAACATAATTTCTTTTAGAATGAAACGTTTTTCGAATTTTTATATCGAATTTTCAATTTCAGAAATCTCTGAAATTTAATTAGAAATTTCTGAAATATAATAAGAAATTCCTGAAATATAATTGAAAATTTCTTAAATTGTATTAGAAATTTTTGATGTATAATATATAATATATTTTGTGATATGTAGTAAGTGAGAATATTGAAAAGAAAAGTGGAATGAATGATAAATATAAGATTTTAAAATTTTCGATGTCCTTTTAAAGACTGTGTCCAGTTAGTTTTTATATAGCTTTTATTTTAAAAAATTCATGTTCAAAATATTGGCCATTGTTGGCTACTATATTTTTCCATTTTTCTGGCAACATATGGATTGGGCGCCAAAACGAGTGTAAAACTATCTATGAAAATTCAATATAAAGAAATGTTCATCATTTGAGGACAAGAATGAATCAAGTCAGAGAGCGTTTTGCATCACTTCAAATAAATAGTAGTTGGACATGGCAAGGTCTGAACTTTACATAAAGCCCCCTTTACATGAACACACAAGTAATATGATCTGTCAAAATTTTGTGTAGAAGAGTACGGATGGGATCGTCTAAACCACACATCGGCAGAGCGTAAAATTTTCTTTCCACACTAACACTACTTCACTTTGTGTTTTTGCATTCCATGCACTGAAAGAAAAGTTTACAAAATTTTTTAGTGTTTTTGGTGTAGTGAGTTCACTACTTTACAGTGTACTGTATTATAAATAACAAAAAAACATTAAAATTTCTGGATTTTTTGTGAATAGGATTGGAAAAAATTTAAACACGGCCTATTATTTTTGAACATTGCTCTCGGAAATGTATTTATTTGCAATTTTAGATACAAAATGAATCTTAATATATACTCCATGTAAATAAAAGTAAAGAAATAATGGAAGATTTTGAAAAATGAAACAAATAATGGATCGTTAGGTGTATAAAAATATCCTCCAACAACTTTTGCGCTCATATACAGTACTATAAATATCAATTAACTGACAATATTTACAGGATAATGTTGTTAGTAGGCTTGTATATCAAGAATTAACATAGTAGCGGGTATTACATTTGTTTAGGAGTTTATGTCGTTGATTCACATTTATTAAAATTCCCATTATTTTTTACAATTACACAGAAATTAAATAAATTTTTTTACGTATTTACTGATAATTTTTCTTGAGATATTTTAAAATTAAAATAAATATTAAATATCAAATATTCTCATATGCAAAAATAACTTTCGGCAAACAAGAACCTATCTTTATGTTTAACAACAGAGATTTCTCTATGTGTAACTCCATCAAAAAACTTCCAAGCTATCATTCTCTTAGTTTGGAAGTTACGTACGTGTGTTGGAAAATAAACCAGAGAGCTCAATTGAGAGCTCGCTGCGCTTGTATGGTCTAAACGCAATATGTATACACATTGAGAGAAAATACGGATGCAAAATTTGACAGTCTCTTAATTTTTTGAAATGATTCAAAAAACAGGCAAGTTGCATTAGATCAGGGATGTATTTTTTATGTAAACACATACAAAAAAAGTGAAACAGCTGTTTCCATCTTACTTTGTTATTGTTTTATACTAATCATGTAAACACAAAAATATAAATCATACGTCTGTTATTCTCTTTTTTTTTGTCATACGGATGGAATTTCATTTTACTTTTTTATTATATTTTACGTACGTAAAGTGTGATCGTGTAAAGGGCCCTTAAGTCAGGTGAGACAAAGCTTCCCAACCACTTCTTTTAAAAGAATTTTTAAGTAGTATTACGACATGTGGCCGAGCGTTGTTACTATGGAATTTTAAGCATCCATGTCCCTGTTTGTTTGTAAACCTGTCATAATATAAAGAACCCTGCTTGTCCCACTAAATACAGAGTTGTTATTATGGAATTTTAAGCGTTCAAGTCTGGCCGTTTGCTCGCTTCAAACGAATTAGTTGCATTCGGTACAGGTTTCCAGTAATGAAAACCTGTCATAATAGCAAAAAACCCAGTTGGTTCCACTAAATACAGAGAAATACCTTCGCGACATGGATATTAGGTTGGATTTCAGTAGCTCATAATATAAAAGACCCACTTGTTCGGGACTTGTTCGTGGATGGAGATTTTGTTTGATTTGGCAGTACTTAAAAATTGTAAAAAGATACATTTACTTCCCATTTAGTTGGCCTTAATATTATCTTTAACAATCGATCTACCGATTTCGATATACATATTTATATATCACAGATCTTTTCTTATCTATATTATAAAGATTCAAACGCTCGCTACCGTTTTGAACAACAATGTTCAGGGAGTTGTTCGCATTACTTCCTTGCTCTTTAAACCTTCGTGGGCTGGCTTAGACGATCTTTGTCTTCGTGCTTCGGTGATCAATCGAAGTTCTTCAGTGTCACTTTTTTCAAATTCAATATTTTCAAAACGTTTTTATCGCATTTTTATATGTAAGATACTTTCGATATACATATTTATATATCAAAGATTATCTGGTGAATCTTTGTTTAGCTTTATTATAAAGTTTCAAATATTTAAGAGAAATTTAAAAAGGTTTCGTTCTTATAACTCACAAATAGGATTTAGGTCAAAAAAAGGGTCAATTGAATAATTTTAATAATACAATTTTCTAAATATTCCTCAACATGGATCTCATGCGGCAATAATTTGATCTCATAAAATCTAGGACGTGTTGTTGTGGCATCATTTTAATCGGTTACTAAAACAATATTTAAAAAAAATATCTAAAGAATAATACAAACATAAATACATAGTACATATTATACTATTTAAATCATCTACATACAAACATATACATAAATACATACATACATACATACATTGAAACATATACAAATTAAATATTTAGATATAAAATATCAAATCGGATTGCAATTATATTACAATAATAAATAAAAAAATTCTTAAAATAAAAATTAAATAGATTTTTTTGGTTTTTGGAAATTCTATATAGTCTAGTATTAATTATATTAATTATTAATACTAATTAATAATATTAATAAAATAAATTATAATACATATTGATAACAATAATATTTCTCCCTAGTTGTGTTACTAAATTATAGTTAAATTTGTTTAGTAATAAAAAGTAAAGAAAATTATTAAAATGAAAAGTAAAACGAAAACAATAATCTTATTATATTGAATATTTAAAATATTAAAAAAAAAAACGAAAAACAAAATAATAAAATAAAAAGATTTATTAATAAAGAAAAAATTAAAATTAATAAAAAAATATAAAAAACAAATATCAATTATTCAAATGCATTTATACAACTTAAAACTAATGGTAATTAAACAAAAAATAAATAAAAATAATAATAATAAATATCGATTGTTCATAAAAATTTAAAAATGTCCTTAAAAAATTTATTTGTCCGCGGTACATCTAGGCCCTAGGGGAAGTTATAATCGATATCAAGAGCAATATTATAAAACATTTTGAAACTGCCAGCATTTTTCAAGTTTGACTGGGAACTAGGTATACAAAACTAATTCTTACTAAAGTCGTTACAAATCGTTAATTTAACTAACGCACCCGAAATACAAATACACAATTTTATTCATTACTAGTTCTAAGTTCATTAAAAACAATAATACTTTTATTCGGTGATCAAATATTGTACAAATACATAATAATCATATGTAAGTTTATGTCAGCCATTGATAATACGGCCCTATACT